GACTCGTACGAGGGTGAGGGAATGAAAACTATATGCTCGAAAGTGAAAAACTGATGAACTGTTCCTTAAGGTCAGCAATCTAACAGCTTTTGTCTTAATATTCATTAGCCTATCAATCTTCATTAAGACTTCTAGAAAAGTAGCTGCTATTGATCCTTTATCTATCCCAGAATACTTTGGATTAGCTTCAAGTTATATTTATGTCTCAATCAAGAGTTGAGGTTGGTACTATAAAAGGATATATAACCCACAGGAAATGAAGGTTCAAAATAAGGTCTCAGGCCTCAGTGAGTTACCTTCAGGAATTATACACATTTTTATTTGTGCATTTGTGTCTATGTGACACCCATCAGCATTTGCTATCAACACTTTTTTTTAACGAAAGCAATTCTATTTACTCAGAAAATTTGCTTATTATAACTACATTAACTCATTTTTTAGTCCTAATTACAATTAAATCTTTCATGTAATGAATGGATAAGAAACTAAGAACAAAATAATACCAGCATCTAAGGAAAATGAGGAGGACCTCATAGTTTCCATTGCAATACAGATTAAATGGGAAAATAGCAAGACCAGAAAAGAAACAACACACTTGATTAAAAATTATTCCCACTGCAATTCATAACTGTTTTTAATCACTGCCATTCCTTTTTAAAACACCAAACATTTTCAATTCATCAACATTAGGATTCAGGAAGTCAAGGGGAAAAAAATTATAAAATCAAAAACATTTGTTCTCTTCATGCACTGAATTCATGATCATCAAGGTAGTTTTCAATTAAAGATGAGTTTTTAAGTTTCTAAAAATGGATAGGAAAAATTAAGTTTCCGGTCTAACCTGAGTTGGTGACAGCCATTTGCCACTAAGTGTGAATGAAGGTGGGGAGGAGGATGGATAATCTGGTGGCAGTTCAAAGTTCAGCACAAGAGGAGGCAGAAAGCAAATGGTGTATTCAAAGCCACTATTCTGGAGACACTCATTTGAATTGCCTGAACCAAAAACAAAGATTAGAAAGGATCAGTTGATCAATGCTTGAGTGTCTATTACCATTGAGCATAGCTCAAGAAAGACTTAATGCTTTAGCTGAGGGAATAAAAACCCTCCCCAAAGCACTATTTCCTAATTTTAACTTCGTAGCCACCACCTTAAAAAATTTTTATAACCCTTGAAAAATCTACTAAGCACCATGAAATGTATAATGAAGATACACAACTTAATCTTGTATACATTTCTGAGTATAATTCCTAACACTAATGACCAAGTAACACACAATGCTATGTTTTGTTGTTGGTTTGGTTTACAGTAGATGATTACAGACACAATCTAGAGAAAAGGATATTTCTACCAAACAGCCATGACCTACTTAGACCAGCATATGCCAACTACCCATGAATCATAGTTGGGAAAAACTGTGCCAACCCAGTGATCTCAGGCTTGAGGGCAGGATACAACACACAACACTCACAATCCAAACTTCATTTCAATTATCACACTTACTTTACTCAATCCCTTTATAGTAGAAACATTTTGAAAAGTATGCATCAAGGTCTTCTGTGAACATGTGTACCAAAAGCAGCAGTTTTGTTTTCTGAAGCAAAAGGTCACAGAGTAACAGCATGTGTCACAGGTTTATGATAATACAAATGATTCTGGAAACCAAATAATATTAACAAACACCATGGTACTTCAGAGTTTTCCAAGTGTTTTCACATACATTATTTCATTTTCTCTTTGGTTATCTCTATTGAACAGCCAATGACTCATGGATGATAAACTACTACTTAGAAGACTAGGATATATGAAATATGCAAGATAATAGTCTACATGCGTGGTCTACAAGTGGGATCAAATCGAAAACTGTTAGCTCCCATTCCAATTTTCATTTAAAACAGAAACATTTGGTGGTGCCTGTGGCTCAGTGAGTAGGGCACTGGCCCCATATACCAAGGGTGGTGGGTTCTAACCCAGCCCCAGCCAAACTGCAACAAAAAATAGCCGGGTGTTGTGGGTGCCTGTAGTCCCAGCTACTTGGGAGGCTGAGGCAAGAGAAATGCCTAAGCCCAAGACCTGGAGGTTGATGTGAGCTGTGACACCATAGCACTCTACTGAGGGTGACAAAGTGAGACCCTGTCTCTAAAAAAAATAAAATAAAAAACCAGAAACATTCATTAAGTCTGTAACACTATCATCTATTGCTAATGCCTAAAACCACAAGATGACAGTTTAAGATACACAAAGAAATCAGGAATAATCTTTATTAAGAAAAATCTGTTCAAGAGAATATTATTAACTAACCGCTCACAAATATCTTGAAATTTTGTGGCAAATCCAAATAGATCCTGGTTTCTCCACCTTGGACAGACTCTGCTTTTCTAAATTCATCTCCATCATAAATACTTGCCAGGGCCAGCAATTCATCCTCCTGAGCTTCTCGATCTTCTGACGACATTTAATTTTCTGAGGAACTGAAGATAATCATTCAAATCAGTTAAGAATAGAAAAGGTACAGAGTTGGCAGAAGTTTAATGTAACTTAACAAACTCTTCACAAACAACTGCAAAGAATTCACCAATATTCTTACTTTTCTGCTAACTCCCAAATGACAGCCATCTTTAACATTCCATCAGCTATGCAATAATAATCATCTTTTTCAGGAGGCACCTGTGGCTCAGTGGGTAGGGCCCCATATACTGAGGGTGGTAGGTTTGAACCCGGCCCCAGTCAAACTGCAACAAAAAATAGCCAGGCGTTGTGGCGGGCACCTGTAGTCCAGCTACTACTCAGGAGCCTGAGGAAAGAGAATCACCTAAGGCCAGGAGGTTGCTGTGAGCAGTGACATGACAGCTCTCTACCTAGGGTGATAAAGTGATACTCTGTCTCTAAAAAAAATAATAATCATCATCTTTTTCAAAAGAGATGGGTGATGGGCCAGCATGGTGGCTCACAGTTGTAATCCTAGCACTCTGGGAGGCTGAGACAGAAGGCTCAGTTGAGGACAGGCATTGAAACCAGCCTAAGCAAGAGCAAGACCCCATCTCTACCAAAAATAGGAAAAATTAGCCAGGCGTTGCGGTAGTCACCTATAATACCAGCTACTCAGGAGGCTAGGCAGGAGGACTGCTTGAACTCAGAGAAGTTTGAGGTTGGTGTGAGGTAGGCTGACATGGCACTCTGGCCTGGGGCAATAGAGTAAGGCTATGTCTCCAAAAAAGAAAAAAAAAAGAGAGACAGAGATGGTTGTGGTGCTTCTAATTACAGACTTTATCAGTTAGGCATTTTATGATTAATAGGAGGAAAAAGGCATGACTAAAATTTTTTTTGAAAGGCTTGGAGCCTGTGGCTCAAGTGGCTAAGGCGTCAGCCACATACACCTAAGGTGGCGGGTTCGAATCCAGTACAGGCCCGCCAAACAACAACGGCTGCAACCAAAAAAAATAGCCGGGCGGCACTGTGGCGGGCGCCTGTGGTCCCAGCTACTTGGGAGGCGGAGGCAGGACACTCGCTTGAGCCCAGGAGTTGGAGGTTGCTGTGAGCTGAAATAACGGCACTCTACCCAGGGGGACAGCTTGAGGCTCTGTCTCAAAAAAAAAAAAAAAGAAAAAGAAAATCATGTGCTCGAGGATGTCACAAGCAAAAGCACTATCTAAGAAAGACAATTGAGCAAGTAGCAAAATGTTAAATTTTTTTTTTTTTGTTTGAGACAGAGCCTCAAGCTGTCCCCTGGGTAGAGTGACGTGGCATAGCTCACAGCAACCTCCAACTCCTGGGCTCAAGCAAGTCTCTTGCCTCTGCCTCCCAAGTTGCTGGGACCACAGGCGCCCACCATAACACCTGGCTATTTTTTTTCGGTTGCAGCCATCAGTGTTGTTTGGTGGGCCGGGCTGGGGATTCGAACCCGCCACCTTAGGTGTATGTGGCTGGCGCCTTAGCTACTTGAGCCACAGGTGCTGAGCCTTAATTTTTTTTTTTTTGAGATGGAGTCTCACTATGTTGCCCTGAGTAGGTAGAGTGCCCTGGGGCATCACAACTCACAGCAACCTCTGACTCTTGGGCTTGAGAGCAATTCTCTTGCCTCAGACTCCCAAGTAGCTGGGACTACCGACGCCTGCCACAATGCCCAGCTGTTTTTTTGTTGCAGTTGTTTAGATAGCCCAGGCCAAGTTCGAACCTGCCACCCTCAGTGTATGTGGCTGGTGCCATAACCAGTGAGCTATGGGTGCTGAGTCAAATTTTTAAAATAGTAATTTCATCAACTCTAAGAAGTCATTAACTTAAAGTCAATGTTTTTTTTAATTTTTTATAACATTTTATATAACTCATAAAACAGTGCTTGTACAAAAACTCACACAAAGTTGCTAGAGAGCATACAATTTCCAACAACGTCCTGGTCTTTGTTACATTCACTTTTCTATTTTCTTTTGGAGACAGAGTCTCACTTTGTAACCCTTGATAGAGTGCTGTTGCATCACAGCTCACAGCAACCACAGACTCTTGGTCCCATTGCATCATAGCTCACAGCAACCACAGACTCTTGGTCCCAAGTAGCTGGGACTACAGGCACCCTCCACCATGCCTGGCTATTTTTAGAGGGTCTCACTCTGGCTCAGGCTGGTCTCAAACTTGTGAAATCAGGCAATCCACCCACTTTGCCCTTCCAGAGTGCTGGGATGACAGGCATGACCCACTGTGCATGACTACGTTCAGTTTTCTAAGGATGCTCTCAAATCAGCAGTAAAATGCATATAATGTGATATTTTATTATCTTTGGTAAAACTATTCTCATTATTCTGTCACCTTATAGTATTAAATCTGATATCCACTTTGAGCAGGGTTTGCTATTACTCAGATGTCAGAAAAACATTAAGGCGGGATCTACAAGAGGCATGTGTTTCCAAATAGCAGTAACAGCCCAGGCCCCAGCCCCATTTCCATCTACAAAGCTAGGCAGGGTGAGCACAATAGCTTCCAATGAGGATTCTCGAGACCCCCCTCAGGTGAAAATATGGAATGCTTCATGGATTTGTGTGTTGTCCTTGCATAAGGGCCATGCTAATCTCTGTACTGCTTCCAATTTTAGTACATGTGCTATCAAAGTGTACAGGAATCAATGTTTTTTTATTATTAAATCATAGCTGTGTACATTAATGCAATCATGGGGTACAATGTGCTGGTTTTATATATGATTTGAAATACTTTCATCAAACTGGTTAACACAGCCTTCATGGCATTTTCTTAGTTATTGTGTTAAGATATTTATATTCTATACCTAGTAAATTTCACATGTACCCGTGTAAGATGCACCGCAGGTGCGGTCCCACCACAGGAATCAATGTGTTAAACTGTAGCAACTAAAAGACTCAGCACAACTGTGGAGAAGCTAAAAGTGAACAATATAATGAAAATTTATAAAAGTATTTTAATAAAACAAAAATATTACCATTCTATCAGTTATAATATTGGATTACAATTACAAATATATTCTCTCTCAATTAAAATATTTTTAATTGAAATATACAAAATCAAAAAGTTAGGACATTATCCTATAAAAGGTGACACTACAAAATTTAAACAAATTCATTTAACAAAATTGTTTTCCCAACAGATGTTTGCCCTACTTAAGCTGCATCCCTAAGACACAGTGACATGCATGTTCTATCTGAGGTCAGTTAGTACCTGTTAAGGACAATCAGAAGAAAAGGATATTAATACTGCAGCCCCGTGTATTTCAGTTCAGTGTGGAATTCAAGCAAATCCCATTTATTTTCCAGCTGGTAGATCTGAGACTGCAGAAGCTGGATAAGAGGATGAGCTATGGAACTCATACTACATATACTATGGAAATCCTGCCATCTGTAGAGAAGAAATAGGAAAGATGGTGTTAGGATCCTGTCCAAATTAAAAATCTAAATTTCCATTATCACTACTTAAGCCAAACACATCCTAACATATAACTAACTCTTAAGCTAGAGCAGCATATTACCTAGGACAGACTGAGTCATGTGGTTAAAGAAGTCTTTGCAGCAATGACAGAGGCCTTCTTATCTGACTGCCTTCAGCCCTGGGAGGAACTAAGGAGGAACATCAAAGTTATGTGAGAGGACAGGACACCATGCCCTGTAACAAATATCCTCTTAAAGTTTGTTTGTTCCTACTTTCCTCTTCTCCATCTTCTATGCCTTTTCCCATCTCCCTCCAGTTTTTCCTTTTTCCAGCAACTCTGCCAGTGAACCTCAAAGTTAGGTTAACTTTGCTAGAAGAATATTTAAAAACAAAACAAGAATACACACATGAACTTTTAAGTTTTATTCTAAATGCATTAGAGCTGGACTTAACTGGGATGAGGGGAAAAGGGAATGTGTTCCAAGATGGGTTATGGGGGGTCCTATGAACACTCTAAAATTATATGCACAATATTATATACCAAGCCATAATTTTAAAACTCTTAAAACTAAGAATGGGATTCAGAATCAATGTACATTTTTGAGCACTTAACTATTTACTGTAGTAGGCCCTTTCACATTATCTTATTTAATACTGAATAGTTTTACCAGGTGGTAGTACATGGTGTTTAAACTTTCTTTTCTTCCTGTTAAAACATTTATAAATAGGATTAGAGATGAATTTATAGAGTTTATGATTTTAGGTGAGTGTTCTCCATCTTGTCTACACATTAGAATCCTCTAAGGAACTATTTTTTTTTAAGTCTCAATACTCAAACCACAACCCAGAACAAGGAAATCAGGCCTCAGTAGTTGTCCAAGCTTTCCAGGTGATTCCAACGTGTAGCTAGAGCTAAAGACCTCTATTCCAAGCAGTGTTTCCCTTCAACAGTTCTTCATGACCTGCCCACCACCTGAACTCAGTCCATACCTACTGATTCTATCCACCGCCAAAGCCCCAATTCCACCAGGCATTTCCCAGTCAGACGTCCCATCTTTCTTTAAAGTCCAGGCAAACTAACTTTCCTATGACATTGTCACATCTCACGTTGCATTACAGTAGTTTTTGAACTTGGACTTCCTCTCCTATCAGAATGTATTAGTTCCTCAAGGGTGAGGATCGGGTCATTTCCATCTGTGTATCATTTTCAGCATCTAACAACCTTTGCATTAGACACTGAAAAAAATTTATAACCAAATTGGGGTGAAATAATGTGTGCTGGAATGGGGGACTCGGAGCACAGTGTTCTGTGACCACTACCTACATTCTGCGGTAAGCAGGAGGTTGGGTAGGTCATAGCAATATTAAGAACAGTAACAGTAAGCTCTTACACCATTGTCAGGCATTGAGCTAAGACCTTTCAACGCATCAAGTGATACTAGATTTCCACAACCACAGGAAGGCTTATAATTTTCCATTACACAAATGAGAAAAATGACAGGTCAGGTCCCTTTCTAGCACAAGGTCACGCAGCTTATAACTAAATCTGGATTCTGCTCGCTCTGTTTCTTCATCTGTAACCCCAGCCCTACCAGACAAGAGATAATTCAAGTTTAATATTAGCTTTGGCAAACCGGAAACCGCTACAACAGAGAGGGAAGCCCCTCCTTCGCAGTGTTTCCCTTCCGCCGGGAAAATCCTACTCATCCTCCCCGGCCACACCAAGTGGACTCCAGCCTTGGGGTCAGCCCTGGTCTGGGATCACCACGCCCTGGTGTCTGCGCCGCTCCACCTGACTTGCAGAGTCTTTGTGCGACTGACCAACAACCCAGAGCAAACCTGAGCCTAGCTAGCTACCTGCCCCAGCGCTGAGAACACAGGGCGCGGCGCGGGCGTGTGAGCTGCGGGAGGGCCTGGACGTTCCCCCATCCTCCGCAGCACCCCGAAGACGGTCATGGGCGGATAGTGCTGGGAGCGCCCCGTCCCGGGTTTGGGGGACTGAAGCCCACTGAGCACTCCCTGCCCAGCCGCCCTTCTCTGCCTCGCGCGCTCAGAGCGCAGTTTCCCATCGCACCTTCCGGCCACCCCGCTGTGCCAGGCCCGAAAGTTCCGCCCTCCGCCCTTGCCCTGGGGTCCCCTCACCGCTACTCGCCGACCAGGCCTAGAAACGCCCGGCTCAACCTGCGCACCGCCTCTTCCGTTCTTGGAAGCTGTCAGCTGAGCTGGGCGGATCCCCCTGGGGCGGCAGCCGGTGTCGGGTGAGCTCTGCGCAGCCGCCGTGACCACCCCAGTCTCTCGGGCGCCCTCAGCAGGCCAAAGGCAGCCCTGCGGGCCCTGTGCTCTCAATAGTTCTGATACGGCCCGGGAATTCGAATTTTTACCATCCCTCGAGGTGATAGATCATTAGGCAGTAGTCGACCTGGGGCAGAAATTCTCATAGCAATCCCAGACCTGCTTCTCTGTGTGGACTAAACAAGCTGCCTCTCCCCATCCCAACTTCCTTCTCAGAAATACTGCCCATCTGGCATCCCCACTATGAAAGCATTCACCTGTTGTTCATACTGTAACAGTAACAACTACCACATTTCTCCAGCGGTTAGACTGCTTCAAGTACGGTGCTAAGTGCTTTATGTACATTTTCTCTTTGTCTTCAGTATACCCATATGACTTAGGTGCCATTTGTTATTCTCACTTTACAAGTGAGGAAATTGAGACTTACGGAGGTTCAAGAACTTACCAAAGGTCACATGATTAAAGCAAGGCTGAGTGAGAATTAAAATTATATGCCCCCTACCTCACACCTTATACAAAAACTAACTAAAAATGGATCGAAGATCTAAAGTAAGAACTAAAATTGTAAAATCCTTAGAAGAAAATGTAGGACTAAATCTCTGTGAACTTGGATTAGGCCAATATTTTCTTACATATGACACCAAAAGCACAGGCAACAAAAGAAAAGAAATAGATAAATTGGATTCATCAAAATTAAAAACTTTTGTGCTTCAGAGAACACTATTGAGAAAGTGGAAAGAAAACTCACAAAACAGAAAATGTTTGCAGGCTCTGTGCCCATAGCTCAACGAGTAGGGCTATAGCTACATACATCAAGGCTGGCTGGTTCGAGCCCAGCCCAGGCCTGCTAAACAACAATGACAACTGCAACAAAAAAATAGCTGGGCGTTGTGGCAGGTGTCTACAGTTCCAGCTACTCAGGAAGCTGAGGCAAGAGAATCACTTAAGCCCAAGAGTTGGAGATTGCTGTGAGCTGTGACACCACAGCACTCTATCGAGAGTGACACAATGAGACTCTGTCTAAAAAAAAAAAAAAAAAAGTTTGCAAATCATAAATATTCAATAAAAGTCTATTATCCAAAATTATAAATAACTCCTGCAATTCAACAACAAAAAGACAAATAATTACATTTAATAATGGGCAAAGGATCTAAATGAATAATTCTCCAAAGAAGATAGCCAAATGGTTAATAAGCACATGAAAATATGCTCACCATCCTCAGTTATCAGGGAAATGAAAATCAAAATCATCTTGAGAAACCACTTCACACCCTCAGGATGGCTATAATAAAAAAAGGCATATAATAAGTGTTGGTAAGGATGTGTAGAAATTGGAACCTTCATACACTGCTGATGGGTGTGGCCACTTTGGAAAACAGTTTGGCAGGTCCTCAAAAACTTAAACATAGTTACAACAGGACTCAGCAATTCTACTCTAAGATATATATACCCAAGAGAACTGAAAATATATTTTCACACAAAAACTTGTACACAAATGTTCATAGTAGCAGTATTCACAAAAGCCCCTAAAATGGAAACAACAAAAATGTCAATCAATGGAATAAACAAAATAATCTGTTGGTATATTTACACAACAGATTATTCAGCTATAAAAAGGAATAAAGTCCTGACATATGCTACAACAGGGATGAACCTTGATAACATTATGCCAGTGAAAGAAGTCAGAATGAATTTTTTCATTCATATGAAATGTCCAGAATAGGTGAATCCACAGAGACAGAAGCAGATTAGTGGTTGTCAGGAGCTGAGGCAGGAGGGAATGGGAAGTCGCTATTGATGGGTATGTGGTTTCTTTGGGAGATGAAAATATTATGGAATTAGGGTGGAAATAATTGTATACCTTTGTGAATGTACTAGAAACCACTGGATTATATACTTTTAAAGGGTTACTTTTATTGTATATGTA